AAAAAAAAAAAAAAAAAGTTGGGCTTCCTTCGTTTCTTTTGCCTGTGACTCTCTTTAAGGGAATCTGGAGAGTGTAAGCGAGCGGGTTGGGGAACCATCCCCCCGCCTGGGCAGAAACGCAGTAAAACCATTACCGTCCAAAGGGGCAGTAAACAGCAAATTGTCTCTAGAGGGAAGGCGGAGGTTTGCCCAGACGGCCCCCGCGGGGGTTGCGGTGGGATATGCTAATGGTGCTGGGCCACTGGGGCCGGCCTCCCTCCCCCAAGAATATATAAAGAGCCCTAACCCCGGCGAGGCCGACCCGGGCCGCCAGGCGCCTGCCCCTGCTAATTGCCAAAGAGCCCGACCGGGAGCCGCGCCGGGGGCTGCCGACCCGCAGCCGCGCGGGGCCCGGATCCTCCCCTGCGCACCCCTCTCGCTGCTGCCCAGGTGCACCGCCTGCCTCGGCGCAGGGGATGGACAGGATGGACAGGATGGACACGATGGACGGCTGCCAGTTCTCGCCTTCTGAGTATTTCTACGACGGCTCCTGCATCCCGTCCCCTGAGGGCGAGTTCGGGGACGAGTTTGAGCCTCGAATGGCCGCCTTTGGGGCGCACAAAGCAGAGCTGCAAGGCTCCGACGAGGAGGAGCACGTGCGAGCGCCGACGGGCCACCACCAGGCCGGCCACTGCCTCATGTGGGCCTGCAAAGCGTGCAAGAGAAAGTCCACCACCATGGACAGGCGGAAGGCGGCCACCATGCGCGAGCGGAGGCGCCTGAAGAAGGTCAACCAGGCCTTCGAGACGCTCAAGCGGTGCACCACCACCAACCCCAACCAGAGGCTGCCCAAGGTGGAGATCCTCAGGAACGCCATCCGCTACATCGAGAGCCTGCAGGAGCTGCTGAGGGAGCAGGTGGAGAACTTCTACGGCGTGCCCGGGCAGAGCTGCTCCGAGCCCACCAGCCCCACGTCCAGCTGCTCCGACGGCATGGTAGGAGGCGGCCCTGGGACCTACCCAGGCCCCCCCCCCATCCTTTCCAAAACCCCTTGTATATCATTTAGCATATGTGCTCCAAAGCGAGCACATCCTTGTATATCATTTAAACCGGGTGTGGCAACTAAGTATTCAAGGGTGATTTTGTGGGTAGTT